GGCATGGTCAGCAAGGGCTTCCTCTACATCCCTTCTTGTGTTTTTTGAATGCATGTGAAGGTTCATTTGCAGAGTGTCTTCCTTCATTACTCATTTTAGATCAGAAGTGTGCGTGCATTATGCTCCTGAAATGCCACTGTGTGCTCTAACACACTAAACTGTGGAAGATCTCTTCATTTGAATTTAAGGTGGTCAAGAAAGGCACTCGTGCGGTTCTGAAATTGTGGTTAGTAGTCATTTTGTAGCATTCTGGACTTTGGGAAGGAGTTCAGCCATGGAGCATTAGTTTTTCATGAAGAAGGTCCCAGGTTCAGACTCTGGCTACAGCTGGGAGAGAACCCAGCCTGGAATCCTGGGGATCTGCTGCCAGCCAGGTTAGACAAGACTGAGGTAGATGGACCAATGGTCTGACTCAGTCAAAAGCATCTTCTGATGGGTTCCAAGGGAGCACCTGAAGGCAAGGGACTGGCCCTTTTTATTCTGCTGGCTCAGGGAAAAGAGGATGGGCGGTAACTTGGCCTGGCTGGGGGGTAGGCACGTTCCCTGGCCTGTGTTGGAATGACCCAACAAAGGAAGATGTTTTCATAGTCTGGCGATAGGCATAACTACGCATGTGTCAGTGGCAAAGGAAGTACTTAGCATAACCAATAAGGGGGAAATAGAGGTCAGGCTTTCCTATTGTTCAGAGAGGAAATTCCATCTGCAGTTGCCAGACAGGACACCACCTATTGCCAGCTGCTCTGGGGCCATGCATAGTTTATATATTAAGATACATGCTGCAGGCACGTGAAGTTGAAGCTGGGCCAATCACGACTGACGAGAGCTGGAACTTGGTTGGCAGAGCAAGCAGAAGATCTTGGGTTTGATCCCCAGCATCTCCAGGCGGGGCTGGGAGAGACCCCTGTCTGAAAAACCTGGAGAGCCTCTGCTTGGTCACTGTAGACAATATTGATCAAGATGGACAAAGGGTCTGGTTTGGTATAAGGCAGCTTCCTTATATCAGAAAAGGAATAGGCTCCCAGAGCAAAGGTTTCATCTCAGGGGCAGGAAACCTTTTTCTTCCTGAGATCCACATTCTTTTGTAGGAAGCCTTGTGGGGGCCACCAATGGTCAGGGGCCAAAGGCAAAACTGGGCAGAGCACTGGATGTGACTTATGTACAATAAATGGCATTCCAGCCACGCAAAGAGGAAGAGGCTTCTACACTCTCATGCACACATCTCCCCATCTTCTTCCTAGGCAAGCTATAGAGGCATTTTGTCAGCTCATGTACACAGTTCAAGAACAGCTTAAGGAAGGGGTGGAGGAGGGCCAGTGATCTGTGTAATCTGGACAGGCTGGGGGGAGCTGGGAGGGTCAGAGAGAGAGAGAGTTATGGTGGGCCACATTTGGCCTTCAGGCCTCAGGTTGCCCTCTAGGAGGTGTTTTTTGGCCACCCTCCTCCCGGAATAAGTGTTTGCTTTCAATTGCTGCTAGCACAGTTTGCATTTAGTGACCCTTTATTACATTGACCCTTTATTACATGAGCTTGAAGCCTGTAATCACCAATGTGGGGCCTTTAAAGAAATAAATATCATTTTTGTCTCCACGCATCTTTAAGCAGCCACCAGTATTACCTGCATGTACCTTGTCAGATTTTTGCTGTAGTTGAGAGTAGGAAAGCCCCCGCCCTGAACCTTCCTACTAGTACAACCCGAAAGCCAGTTGATGGGAGCCAAGGTTGTTTCCTCTGGGATGACCCAAGGGGATGGCTTCTCTCTTTGCACAGTGACACAGTGTGATGGCTGCCAAAGAGCCTATTGAGAAAGTCCCCTTGCTTAAAAGGGTGATGTTGAGAGTCTGAAGTGGCTTCTGACTGCAAGCTGTCTAAAGCTCAGGGGCTGCTTGATGGCCCTCACTGGTGGAAGGCAGTGTCTGCGAGGGCTAATTGCTCATTAAAAAAGCTTTTAATGAGCATCTGGGAGAATTGGTGGCTGCTCTTCCTTTCTCCCCCTCCTTTCAGCATGGCTGCCTTCCTGCTCGTTGGGCCTGAGGCCGAAAGAAGGCCCTTTTTGTGGTCAGCTAAACTGTTTACTTTGGGACAAAGAGGTCTGAAAAGCCCTCAGCCCTGGCTGCTGCCAAAACGCTGAACTCGGAGGGGGACACTTGAACTGCAAGCTTGTGAGATGGAAGGAACTCTGCTGGACAGAGAGCAGATCTCAGCAGCGTGGTTGAGCAGAGCGCTTTGGCATATGGCTGGATGTGTGGAGAACTAGCATTGAAGCACCCTGAGGACTAGCTGCCTGGAAATGGTTTTTACCTTTTTGTGCCATACAGTTAAAGTTAATGTTGTAGCCCCTCTTGTATGAATTTTGAAGAACACCAATGTGCGCTAACCAGATGTTAACAAGGTATTCCTCAAGGGCAGAATAAGGAATAGTGATTTATACCAGGCGCAATTAGAAGGAAATCAGGAGTCTTCCCGCTTCACTAGGACAGTGGGAGAGTATACATGTAGCACATTGTGCATTGGCTTTACCCCATCACAATTTGCCACCACACGATTGGGGAAGCGCTGTAGCTCAGTGGTACAGTATCTACCTTGCATGCGGAAGGACCCAAGTTGCATCTTCAGGTAGGGCTGCGAGAGACCCATGCCTAAAATCTTGGAGAGCTGCTCTGACTTGGTACAACGGACTTTCCCCTGCCCACTCCTGAACTAAGGTGCCGGCAGCAGTGCTGTGGTAGAGAAGATGCTGGAAAGGCAGCGAAGGACTTTTAAGCAGACCTGTTGAGATCCTCCCTCTCTCATAATATAGAACCTTTGGTCATCCAGGGAAGCTTCATGGTGGGAGATCCAGGGCAGATGGATAGTTTAAGTGTGGGATTCCCCACCACATGAGGCTGTGATGGCTGCCAATTTGGATTAAGAGAAATTCATGCAGAAGGAAGGTATCAACCGGTGAGTCATGGTGGCTCTCTGTTACTTCCAAGCTCAGAGGACAACAGCTGCAAGGGGGCTTGCCTTCTAATTATGCTAGCTTTTTAGTTGATTATCTTGCGTTTCTTCCAGCATGAAAGAAACCGAGATCTTGATTTATATGTCCATTTATTTCAATGTAATTGGTTAATTAACCAGTAAATGGGATAAAGGGCAGGCAAACTTTTACTATTTTAAATGATCACATCCTTTTATTTATAAAAGAATTATGGTACATATTGCAATAATTTATATTAGTATAGTAGCATATCCTTATCTAGATAATAGATCTCTAGCCAGTTAAATTCAACAAACAGAAGGTAATATTTTCCCAGCTGAAATAGTAATAGAAAGGATTTAAATGAATGAATAAATGAAACAACAATATATAGGATAAAGGAAATTCAGATTAGTAATATTAGCCACATATGCACAATAATAATGAGTGGGAACACCACTTAGCATAAATTTGGGGGGAAGATAAGAAAACTGTAACATTTTTTACAGTTCTGAAACCTTTTTGTAGTTCTAGGGTTCCAGAGACAGAAGAATTGGGAGATGTTGATAGTTTTAAACCATTAGAAAGTGTCTAACCTTCTGAGAGACAAATTGTTTTCAGAAATCTAACCTAAGAGTAAAACACAAATCCATCTCTGATCCATCTGTGCTGTGAGCAGCCTCTTCCCGTCCTTTGCCGATGGATTTGCACCCCCCTCCCTGCACTGCGGTGCCCATCGAAGCCCCATTGAACTAACTGCATTGAATCTTCTGGGCTGAATGGGCAAGCTCACCCTCATCTGGGACCGCCATTTAGGCACAGATGCTAATGACAACCGTTGGCTCGGGGACAAGACTATAAAAGAACCTTGTATACATTAGATGGCAACAGGCCACCCAGACATAGTTTGAATTCCTCAACTGCAACGTCTCTGTACTCCAATCTGTTTCCATTCCGCACTGCTTTACAAGTGTACATTATATTTTGAATGGAAACCATGAGCAATAAGCGTTTAAAACCACCGCCACCGCTACGATCATAAGCATTCCCAGCAGATGTGTGTTGAATGCGGTAATGGATACAGGGGAAGTACCGGGTGGGATACATTAATATGTGCTGGGAGTGTGTAGTCCAGGCTTTGCCAAACTGGTGCCCACCAGCTGCTTTGGATTACAGGTTCCCATCAGATCCAAGTAGCACGACTGTGCTGCCTGGGGCATTTGGGAGTTGTAGTTCCCAATAGCTGGACAACACCAGCTTGTCAATGAAAGTCAACCAATCGATTTTATTGTATATAGCAGGCATAGGCAAACTTGGCCCTCCAGATGTTTTGGGACTACAATTCCCATCATCCCTGACCACTGGTCCTGTTAGCTAGGGATCATGGGAGTTGTAGTCCCAAAACATCTGGAGGGCCGAGTTTGCCTATGCCTGGTGTATAGCCAAAGGCCTTTACAATGTACAGCAGGGGATGAGAGCAAGGCTTTCCTCTGAAATCACACAACATGACCTGTAAAAGTTGACAGCATAAAGATTTACAGCATAAAGTTTTAAAACCAGGAAGCACTGACATATCTAGACTGGAGCTTCTTAGTTGTCAATGGCTGTTGGAGTCCATTAAAATGACCGTTCAGTTTTAGTAAGACCCTTCTTCTCTGCTGGGCATTCACTGTTCAGTCTTATAGAGAAGTCTGTGTCTGTTGTTCCTAGTTCTGTGACTGCAAAATGTTGCTATGGATCACTCTTCTGCTGACGTGGAAGCAAACATCTGGAAGAGCACTTTGCAAATCGGCCTATATATAACTGTTAAGTAGCTGGGTGGGGCATCTTCCTATAGACTGCTATGCGTACATTACCCTATAGCTTTTGTACCATTCCCTACTCTCCTGCCCCCCTTGCTAACTGGGGTCTGGCTAAGGACTCCATCACTAAGGACCACACACCTAGTACACCCCTTTAAGCCCTGGATGCTTGGTTAACGCAGGATGAATAACCCTCTCCCTCTCTCTCTCTCTCTCTCTCTCCCCCCTCCCTCTTTCCCCAGGATTTTGAGCAACAACAAGATAGCAACTCTGAAGAATGGCTCTTTTTTCGGACTTCGTGCTCTCGAGAAGCTGTAAGTGCCATTGTGTACTCTGGGCAGTACTGGGCCCTTAATGAAGGGCTGAGGAATTAGTGACCAAAATACAACAAAACTGAAGTCTTGGCTGTGTGTGTGTGTGTGTAGGAATTTTAATTGCCACAGCAAGAACTAGAGTGACTTGAGAGAGAGAATGTGGAAGCTGTTACATTTTGGAATTCTTAGTAAAGCAAATGAAGGATGCATCTGAGGCCACAGCTTCAAAGATCTGTACTGCGCAATGAGTCTGAACTGTTGTTTATGTGGTTCCTTCCAAGTTGCTGGACTGTATCCCACAAAAGGTTGTGGTGCAATAAATTAAGTTGTGAGCCTTTTAGGTACCACAAAACACTCTGCCCGCCCGCCCCTCTTATATCCTGGGTATCAACCTGGGAGTATCATGTGCTGAAAGTTCATTGTCCAAAAAACCAAGGGGGCAGCTGGACATGATGGTGAGCCATCGTGTAGATGGCAGATTCCCAGTGATGGGAGTGCATGGTTTGAGGTGAATTGCAGCTTATTTTGGCATGCAAACACCAGCCCTTTATTCAGGCTGCTTGTGCCCTCTGTGGAATTCTTCCTACTGAACCAACCTCTACCGCTTCAGAGAACAACTTTGAACATAGAATTCTAGAGTTGGAAGGGAGAGCCGAGGGTCTTCTAGTCCAACCCGCTGCAATGCCGGAATCTTAACTAAAGCATCCATGACAGATGGCCATCCAACCTCTACTTAAAAACCTCCAAGAAAGGAGAGTCCATCACCTCTCATGGGAGACTGTTCCATGCTTTTACTGTCAGAAAGTTTTCCCTGATGTTTAGTTACAATCTCCTTTCCTGTTTGGACAGCAGCTAAGATAAGTACCCAATCTAAATCACACACACCCCTCAAAAAGCAACTGGACCCCTCCAAACTGGGGGTTTTGCGAGAGTCTTCTGTTGATGCAATAATAGTCCTTTACAGTGGCACCTCAGGTAACATATGCTTCAGGTTACATACACTTCAGGTTACAGACTCCGCTAACCCAGAAATAGTGCTTCAGGTTAAGAACTTTGCTTCAGGATGAGAACAGAAATCGTGCTCCGGCAGCGCAGCGGCAGCAGCAGGCCCCATTAGCTGAAGTGGTGCTTCAGGTTAAGAACAGTTTCAGGTTAAGAACGGACCTCCGGAACGAATTAAGTACTTAACCCGAGGTACCACTATATTGGTGGATTTATACTGGACCATTCACACACAATTCCATTTTACTAGTTGTTCTGTACCGCCTCCCCATTGTTGTTGCAATAATCCTGTCTTGAGGTGGGGACTATTGCACTACAGAGCAACAAAAATGGAACAACAACAAAACAAAAAATATGTTTGAGGTGTGAAGAGTTGCAGGGGTTCATTAGGAAGTTACAGGACACGCATTGACGGGAAGCAAAGCAGTGGGCGCACTCCAAAAGTTTGTTGCAAACACAAATGGTATTGAAAGCATTGTTGTGTGCAACTTCCCCAATACCATACTGATCACAGATCATCGTGAGTGCATGATAAACGGGATGTTTGGAGGGGCCCACTGCTGAGCCTCCTGGGGGAAAACCCACACAAGCACGTTGCAGGTGTTTTCCTACTCTAGCAGAGGTAATGGCAGCTGTGGGAGGGAGTGGTAGACCAGGGAAATGGCATGCAGCAAAGGGGTTAATCTCCCCTCCCTCAGCACCGGTGCTGTGATCCAGCACCTCCCCACCCACTTAGAGGCAGTTGTTTAAAACCTTTTTAAGAAGCAGGGAGATCCGCACATGGATCTACCACATCTGCTTCGACTCAGAGATGTGCAGAATTGATTCCAGAGTGAAGTAGACTGGGGCAGGCTGTGAGATCAGCCTTGGTCTTCTGGCAGAGGGGAAGCAAGAGGAGACCAATCTGTGGGGCCCAGTCTGAAAAGCAACATTGTCCCCTCCAACAAAGTCAGCTTTCTTATCTCCTAATGAAAGGCATCTCTATGGCTCAAGGCTTTCATAAGGAGAGATTTATGTGTTCGTGTCCCCAAATCATATGGATTTCATTGGTAGGTAGGTATGTCAGGGGATGGGGGGTAGAATATACTGAGGAGTTTTTGTTCCTAGACACTGAGCATAAGCAAATCTCTTGTGTCCCACCAGCAATATGTGACTGTGGCTTGATATATTATTGAATGAGATTTTGAAAATGCATCTTTTCATGGACTGGGCTGAAGCGTGCAAGCGAAGTAGAGAGAGATCGGAACTGGTGCAGTTGCAATAGTGCACAGTCTGCTTAGGAAAAATCCAGCCCCGCCCCCCACTCCCCCCCACCCCCTGTCCTAGGAGAAAACCCTGCTGCAGACCTGTGTTAAGACCCCTGCCGGGTAGGCATATATAACCCTGCCTAATAAACCTCTTACCGTATTTTTCACTCTATAGGACGCACCAAACGATAGGACGCACCTAGTTTGGGGGGAGGAAACAAGAAAAAAAAAGTTCTGAATCCCAGAAGCCAGAACAGCAAGAGGGATCTGGCTTCTGGGATAGCCTCTTGCTGTTCTGGCTTCTGGGATAGCCACTGGGATAGCTGGTCTAGCTTTGTGCGAAGCCTCCGCAGGGCACGGGGAGCCTTCATCCCCGTGCCCTGCGGAGGCTTCGCGGGGCCATCCATAAGCCAGAATAGCTAGAGGGAGCACTGCGCAGCGCTCCCTCTAGCTGGTCTAGCTTTGCGCGAAGCCTCTGCAGGGCACAGGGAGCCTTCATCCCCGTGCACAGCGCAAGTTCCCGCTGCGCTCCAAAGGCTTCAGGTGGCTATCCCTGAAGCCTTTGGAGCGCAGCAGGACCTCACGCTGCGCTCTAAAGGCTTCAGCGAAAGCAACGCGTAGCCTCCGCGCTCTGGAGGCTTCGCGTTGCTTTCGCTGAAGCCAAGGAGCCTGCATTCGCTCCATAGGACGCACAAACATTTCCCCTTAATTTTTGGAGGGGAAAAGTGTGTCCTATAGAGCGAAAAATACGGTATATATTCGTGCCTTTATAGAGCCTGCATGGTGTAGTCAAGTTTCAGGGAGATAGGGCTGAGAGGGAATAGATAGGCTTGCTGCAGATTGGTCATAGTGTTATTTACACTTTTAAAAATAAATAGATGAACTGATAAATAAACCCAGAACAAAACAGTGTAAATGTGGCACATATGAGACATCTGCAACAGGGACGCTTTCTGTTCTGAAAGTACGGTATGCTGATAAAGAGCACTGGTCTTCAACCGGTGGGTCAGGAGTGGACCTGCTAGTGCAGGCATAGGCAAACTCGGCCCTCCAGATGTTTTGGGACTACAACTCCCATCATCCCTAGGTAACAGGACCAGTGGTCAGGGATGATAGGAACTGTAGTCTCAAAACATCTGGAGGGCCAGGTTTGCCTATGCCTGTGCTAGTGGGTCACTCAATGCCTGATCCAAGGTGCGTCACAACACGAGTTCTTCCACCATGCCAATGTATGGCAAAAGGTTAAGAAAACGGGTTGCCAAATGCATCTTTGAGTTAAAAGTAGGTCCTGGGTCCGAAATAGTTGAAGACACTTGATTTAGCATGTTGAATTTTAGACAGGGAGTCCTGTGCTCAAGCATCAGGTCAAGCAACGATTATTGGGTGACCCTGAGCCTGTTGAGAGGCACGGTCTCAGAATATTATTCTACCTTGTTGTGAGGATTGTTGTGAGAAATCAAGGCACAGGAGGGAGACATACAGAGCCCTGAGTACCTGGAAGGAAGGAAGGAAGGAAGGAAGGAAGGAAGGAAGGAAAGGAAGGAAGGAAGGAAGGAAGGAAGGAAGGAAGGAAGGAAGGAAGGAAGGAAGGAAGGAAGGAAGGAAAGAAAGAAAGAAAGAAAGAAAGAAAGAAAGAAAGAAAGAAAGAAAGAAAGAAAGAAAGAAAGAAAGAAAGAAAATACGTTTGGAAAGGGGAGGGGGGCAAAATGGTTTCCCAGCTACTGTTGAAGGGGACATCGCTCAGGCTGCAAAGGCCTGGATTTATTTGATGCTGCTTCTTTAATGCCTCCCCCCACCCCACTCTTAATTTTTTATTTTTTATTTTTTTGAAGTTGTGGGTCGTCCCCACCCCTTGATCCTGGCACAAAGCTCTCATTAATGGCAAGGGATTACTGCTCCCCCAAGGGCGAGGCGGCAGCTGGAGGAAATAGCTGGAGAGCTGGTCCTCAAGAGAGCCCTGCCTGTCTTGGGGCTTCCAAAGCGATAGTTTTAGCAAATGGACACTCATGACACTTTCAGGAGAAAGAGAGATTCTGCCCCCCCAAACACCATTTCCTCTCTCCCCAGCTTAGAGCTTGCTAGGCAACCCTTGAACTTGACTCCTGAATGTGTTCTCTTAAAACCTGGTTTCCTCCTCCCACTTTTTGACTGCCAACCTGGAAAACTGTGTCTAATTGGGTTGGACCCCGGGGTGCTGAAAATCTCTTTAAAGTCTCATTGTTCTGGGAGCCCTGAACAAACAGCCAGGCCTGATCCCAGCCTGCTCAAGACGGCATTAACCCCGCGGTCACCTCTGGAATGTTCAAATTACGCTGGGAGACCGGAGCTGTCAGTCAAGGGATGCTTTGGCTGCCCCACTGCCCTCTCCGCTCTGGATTGCGGCTTGTGCATGCCAGAAGCAGCGCTCTGTGTAGCTCAGGGGGGAGGGGGGTGGAGAAGGAGGGGTGAAGAAAAGGATTGCGCGAGACCAGAGATGTCGTCGTATCCTTGTGGGATTGCGTGGCAACTGCAGAGAGAAAAGTAGGCACTGGTTCATTGGGGAAAGGAGATGTATGCAGGTATGGGTGAGATTTGATTCAGTTCACATCTAAAGGCAGGCCTACTTCTAATTGAGATGCAGGTGGCGCTGTGAGTTAAACCACAGAGCCTAGGACTTGCCGATCAGAAGGTCGGCGGTTCGAATCCCCGCGACAGGGTGAGCTCCCGTTGTTTGGTCCCTGCTCCTGCCAGTTTGAAAGAATGTCAAAGTGT